GATCAAATCCTCATAATTTGAAGAGTGCGGGGAATTGTGGGAAATATCAATGTTTATAACACAAATGTGGCACATGGCAGCGCGACGATTACCACGCTTTAAGGTAGAAGTCTAAACATTTTTGATCCAAAATTGCATGACAATGTACATTTGTGCTGGTTCATTATTGTGAAAAACCATGGAGCTACAATGCATTGTACAGTGACGTATTTTGTAATAATATTTATCAAAAATTGCTATTTTTAGAATAATTCCAAGCAATTATTTCTAAGCAATATTTCGCCTCAAATTGGATACTATGCTGTAAGCAATTATTTATTTTTGGCTCGATCCTACGCGCTCTGTGCTATGATACAATTAGTTTCTTTTTTTCTCAGAGACGGGATTTTTGCGAGGGGCACCTAGTGAATAGCTTAACGTTTATTTGTAGCTTTGTGCACGGTTACTAAAAAAGACAACCGTGCTCTGTAGTAACAGTTATCCACACCAACATACGATACCCGATACGCCATCCCCAAGTGTCATACGACGTCATAGTACTTACTGATTTTTGCCCAGTTTCCACTGATACCGTTTCTAGTTTTGTCTCCGACAAAGTCATCGTCGCCATGGCGAACGCTTTTATCAAAACCGATATTATGAACAATAATATTCAAACGTGTGTGTCGATATGCACGCAAGTATTCACCAAATAGTAAATCGGACACAGTCACAATAGCAAGGGGGTCAATGAATATCAGGTCATGGCGCAAGCGTAGTAACAGCGACAATTCATGATCGTGAGGGCGCTGTTTAAAGAGACTGATAACAATGGTTATTAGAAACACAAAGAGATGTGTTTGGGGAGCAACCTCATTAAAATCCGATGGAGGCTTCAACATTTTTTTTTTTAATTTTGTAATTGTTACTTTTGTTTATTTATTTATTTATGACTGTTTTTTTTATTCACTTGCTGTTATTAAATTTTTTCTTTGATATTATTTCCCCAATTGGGGTTAGGGGCGATCTGTACAAAAAAGATCTTGAAAAAAAAAAGTACTTCAGGGACAATGAAAAAAGTAGAAAACTATTTAAATAATTTTCAAAATTTCACACACACAGAAAGCCAAAAACAAAATGTATACTAACATCCTTGGAATGAAAATACTTACTGTTTTATCTTTAATGTTTTCAGCTGAATGGTAAAAAGGAAAACAACCGCTACTGGTAATGTTCCTAGGAATATTACAACATTGCAATGAGACAGATTTAGAATGCTATCTGCTGTAGTACTCAATTATTTATAGTAAAACAATATACATCAGTACTGCAATCACTCATACTATTTATCGACAAAGAGAATATATGGAGAAAATGTATACATTACCCTGAACATCTATTTAATAACAAATTTTTCCACATACATGTATGTATATTTGATTTTCTCTGCGACTGTGGTATTTTTGGTTAAATAAAAAATTCCACTGTCTTTGATGAAATTATCGGTAGTCTTTTTTCCTTGGAATTCTTTGCCTAAACTTGTACATTTTCTGTATCGGCACTTATGGATGAAAGATCTCGGTGTCATATTTGGACAAATGTGAAAACAAAACTTGTCATCAGGAATATGTGAATAAAATATTCGCTAAAAATCAATTTCTTCAGCTACCTCGATTTTGAAAGGGTAATTTACTAAACAGCTGTGATAAGCAATTTCACTAATCTGAGATCGTAATAATAATGACTCTAAAATAAAACACAATGACAAATATTTTTATTCATTATATGTTACAATTTGGCAATAGTTTAATGGACGGATTGATCACATCATAAAAATTCAATAGTAAAGACACAACAAACAGACACACATGTTATGAAGTGATATATGACATATGCTGATATACATGTATATGTACATCATATATCCCATAATATCTGACCATAATCATATGTTTTATTCCCATGAGCACTATGTAATTGTTGGCTGGTGTGCTCTTATATTAGAGATGAGTTCCTAATCGAACAATTACGATATGTTTTGCTATAAACTTGTGCACATGGCTGAAAACAACTACCACACTCTTCGATAAAATCCAGTTAAACCATCAATGATTATTTCCCTCTTGAACACTCTGTACACTGCAATAGTGACAGTCTACCAATTAAAAGTGGCAATGGTCTGTACCCAAAACATTTTTAATCTAAACCACTTATTGAGTTTCAGTGAACGGCATGAAATAGATTACAACGAAAAAATGTAAATACGCTTCTCTGCTGTTATATTAATTAATTACAAAATACAGGAGATATATAAAAATATTTTTATATAAAAACATGTGGAATGTTTTCGTTATTTACACGTTTTGAAATGAACACCAGCATCAAATTATTGAAAAATTTCATTTAAAGTTTTTACTCCATGACCATTACTGAAGCTCTATTTGGGTCTTGGGACTATGTGAGAAATAATGAATATGCCTGAATTCTGGAAAATATTACAAATGTTATGTTAAAATCTCAATGTTTTTAGGGTTAGGGTTAATCACTCAGGCTTGTCTTTGTTGATGATTTTGTATAGTGTTCAGATATTTATGCATTCGCTTAGATTTGCGTACTTAGTGCATCTTGCAGTAATCTAAACGAGAGAGGACCCTTCAATATTTTTCTTACATTCATATATCCCGTATATAACATAAATAAATCACAAAATAGTCCCAAGATACCAATAAAGCTTTAGCAAATTTAAGGTAGCAGCAGGAGAAAAACAAGTCAATAATTCATCTGTAATTCAGACATTCTTTAAAAATTACTATAATAACCTATACATTTTCTGAAAGCTTAGATATAGGCGAATACCGTAGTGCATATACCATACCCATGCTTGTCTGAAGGGTTATCTGACGAACAATTTTGCAATGATGCTTTTTTTCTATTCTGACTATTGAAGATATCGTTTTGCAACATTTTTAGGTGCATGAATGGCTTGGAAATTGCACAGGAGGTTTGTCACTTTGTAGATTGAATGATCACATGTAAGTTTTTTTTATCTGCATTTTTTTGGCTATGACCAAATAACTACAGACATACTGGTACTATGGAATTTTCGCCAGTTGCTACCTTAAGTAACTGAACTGTTTGTAAACAGTGTCAATTATCTAAACTCCTTGTACTAATTTGTTTGAATAATTGCTATGGTAACTGTACACATAAATGGGTTAATAAAAAGTTATTTCCCATTATTAATTTTAAGTGCAGTAGTTTCTCATTGTTCATTGTGCGTTTTAACTTCAAACAACACGGTCCTTTCAATCAAGACCGAACATATAATTTATTTCCATGATTTTTTTTTTAAATAATGTCTGGAAGCAATTTTTCACATGTAAAACAAAATGTACTCACTCTCACACAAAGTTTAAAAAATACATTCTCAAGGAAATAAATCTTGTCGTTAGTATTTGTTAAAGGCGATCTATTTTCTGAACTATTTTGACAAAGATTTTTCAAGGGCAAAGGAATTTCCTGCAACATTTGAAACATACTTTGCCAAAATACATTGTCAAGATCTGTTTTTCTGAACTATGATTTGCATATTCATGCGTAAATGTCATAAAAACAAATGACCAATGTTTTGGATCTACACAGATCGCCTGCTTCTACAAGTTGTTTGATTGGTTCCCTGGAAAGATCAAGGCACGCTGATTGGTTTCCTGAAAAGATCAAGGCATGCTGATTGGTGCCTTCAGAAGCTACCATGTTGATGTTTTCATAGCAGTAAAAACTGAACAGTTTTGGGTACTTTCAAACTCAGACAACTGAGTTTAGTGACTCATAATGTGGTATGTGGCCCAACATCATGGCGTTTTAAACGTCGCGTTCCGCTTATCGTGAATGCTTGCTGGGTATTTTTATAAGCGGTATACGTGACTTTAGGATTGTAAGCACCAGGACCGGGAGTAACTTCTGAAAAATAAAACATAAAATAAACATTATTAACATTGAACTTTATTTCCAATATTTACTAACTTATGATAAAATAGATTCAATTTAGCTAGGGAAATATAGATTCCTAGAATATGTCAGATACCAGGTGTTTAAAATAAGTGTAAAATGTTTAACCTTTTCACCACCAGAAATTCTCGCTCAAATTTGTCTGCACTTTTTCCTTATATTCTTCAATATTTCTGGAAATGAATCCTAATTTTGGAGCCAACACAGAAAATTTGAGTAATATTTTTACTCAAAGAATTTGGCTATTTTTGTCCCAATCGTCTGAAGGAAAGTGCAGACTACCGTACAAATGGGACTATTTTGTGTATTTGTGATGAAAAGAGGGAACTGGTGGTGAAAAGGTTAAAGAACACCAACCAGGGGAGCTATTCAGCCATTACATCGGATATCACACGTGCGTTACTGAATTTTGGAAATGGGGGGGGGGGAGTGGTTATGAATCCCATTTCAAAACATTTCACGTACATCACCCCTTAATGGGTGTTCAAATACAGTACGTGCATTGTCACAGATCTCTGAATTGACATAAATTTTCATTCTTTGATATTGAAATCATTGCAATATCAGTCTAACAGAAGACATTGATATTTCATTAAATTTAGATGTACCCTTTCTCTGAAAATCATTGTTTTGTTAACCCTAAACATGTAATGCAAGTTATTTGATTTCAGCCAAAATGAAAACTTTTTCCATGTATTTTCTATAACGCACATGCTTACCCACCTTTGGGCTGAGTGGCCCCCATTACCATAGCAATGTACATTATGAATAGATATTTAGATGAAATGAAGTCTTATATTTTAAATATTGTTATTTCTTGATTATTGCGTTACCCTGTTACCCTGGGTAACCAATAATCGGGTTACCTACTTAACACTATCAACCATGTAAAGTTATTGCAACCTTATGAAAAAAAAGGTGGTATCACCTTAATTAAAAATTATTGACAGTTTTAATTATAGGCAACAGACAACTAAATATGACAAAGATTGATGATAACTGACATTTGTAAGTAAGTAGATTCAATACTTAAGCAATAACCCCCGCCGAAGGCTGGTATACCACGAGATATTGCACAATTCACGACATATATGCACAAGCCGCAGGCAATTGTGCAATATCAAGTGGTATACCCAACTCCGGCAGGGGGTTATTGCTATTATATTATACCAGTATATTGACAATTCGATAAAACTAGTAAAAAATGAGTTTACTTTCATCTACTAAAAGATCATGATTATGGCCCTCGAACATGAATATTTATAAGAATAGTATGCAGTTGTACGCTGAATGCATACAAAAATTACATGCGCAACACAGTTCAAATTGAATACAAACTAATATTTATTCCGTATGAAAAAGAAACGTATCCATGGCGAATAGAGTAGCGTAAACACACAAATTAGCATAACAAAAGATGACCTTTCTGGCCTTTTACTGACGCCCAACGCGATTTGAAATACAGAGTCGTGTACAGTTTGGATCATTAAAACAACGGATTTTCCACGTTCTCATTCCGGTTTTTGTACAATTTGGATTGTAATTTGCCCATTGAAAGTACAGTTGTGAAATAAACTGGTTTTGTGACTCATCATACTACTTGTAACTGTGGATATTTGACGTTCAGCTGTACTTGGTTCGACCAAAATTTGAGACGTGGCGGGACGCGGTGTATCATGTACGGCGACTGGCACGGCGACCTCAGTTCCAACATCTGACCTGGATACGTTTGGTATAATCAAAGTTTTGTGACAGTATGACTGACAAGTTTTGTCGTTGTTCTGGGGTAATTTTGATGGTGTAAGATCAGATTGTCGCATCGTTTTTGTGACACGTACATGATATGTCTTGTCTCAACTCCGGTCGAAAGAAAGACTTTGCACGCCGTCGCTCTAATACAGTGGTTGGTGTACACTCAGCACAAATCTGCAGCTTTCGAAATTACCGTCATCATCTCCTGTAATTTATTTACCCATAGTGGAGAATTACAATACCATATATCGTCGTCGAATCCTGCGTTGTCCTGTGTTCTTTGAAACAGATGGCAATTACCCGGGTGCAATTTCACTGCAATTTTGTCAGCTAGAATTCGAACGCCGCTACGGGACACCAGTTGTTATTGGTGGCATACACTTTTGCCTGTGACTCATAGTTTTTTGCATTTTTTGTCCTTCAATCCCTCAATCTTATCTAGTACTTAAAGATCATGTTGGAGGTTTGCAATCCATCTCAAAGTCACATCACGGAGAACACAGCATTCTGGCGTTCGTTTAGGCACCTCACGGTGTTGAAGGACAATGGTTTAGGTTTGTGTGACGAACGACAATCACTCAACGACCGACGCTCACAACTTGGATCCCACCATTAACAAAAAGCAATATAACTTTTCAGATGTTTTTAATTCAGTATTTTTTTCAATAATCTTCCAAAATTCAACCACTATATTTTCCTAAAAATCATATATACCTGATTTATGTATTTCCGTATTAAACCTGTAGTCAATTCATGTTCCAGGGCCACTTGGTTTAGCCGTGCATTATCAGCCAATATACCATGGATTGCCTATGCAAATTTTGTGTTAGACCAATCAAATCAATGGATTAACACCATCAATATACTGGTATAATATAATTTAAGATAAATGACAAAGATATACAATCTAGTTAAATCATGATGTATTGTAAGAAATGTATTTCATATAATTTATTCAATTTTAATATTTATTGTATTGTGAAATTTGTTTGTTTTTCATTGCATACATATATTAATTTTATTTCTGTAATTACCAAACATTCTAAAAGCTACAAATAAATAATCAATTAAAAGAAATATATATATATATATACAAGAAAATAAATACTTTTTTTTAAAAAAGTTCAAAACAAGGAGAAAAATAAACAAACTAGGATTATATTTTAATCAGATTGATAAAATATAAAACATTTATCAGCATTTACAGTAATAAACTGATTTACCTGGTGCACCAACTGACATGTAGGGAGAGAAATATACAGAATAAAACTCAATAGAAACAACTGTGGTGGAAAACGGGGTATCAACTATTTTGAAATATAATTTCATTTTTACAAATGTATCAACAGTAACTGAGAATACAGATCAGAGGTGTAGAGCGGGAAGGCTGTCACATAATATGGAATATAATAGTTTCAGCCATTTTTAGAAAGACTATTTATATTTGTTTATTATTACATAATTTAATCTCTTTGCTTTAAAAAGAATGGACAAACCGATAGATAAAGTTACCGAGCTAAAAATAATTTGTCTCTGTGTTTTTTTTTTTCAATTTCAAGGTTTTACAAGTAAAAAAATGAATATACTTAGAGTTTGTACACTCACCTGATGGAGGCCATAATGTGGTACCTCCGTGTCTCAATCGATGTGTGAATGATGGCGCTGTATGTAGTATTAATCTGTCAGCTTTATCTCGGTTGTATATATTGGGACCGGGTTCCTTTTCTGAACCTGTAAATATATAACATATGAACACAGTCAGTGGCATGTCATATCGGTTTAGAGGGAATCTATCATGTGAATGTCATATGCTTGCTATGTGTAACCATGTATCTATCATGTGACTGTCATATGCTTGCCATGTATTGATCATGTGTAACCATGTATCTATCATGTGACTGTCATATGCTTGCCATGTATTGATCATGTGTAACCATGTATCTATCATGTGACTGTCATATGCTTGCCATGTATTGATCATGTGTAACCATGTATCTATCATGTGACTGTCATATGCTTGCCATGTATTGATCATGTGCAACCATGTATCTATCATGTGACTGTCATATGCTTGCCATGTATTGATCATGTGCAACCATGTATCTATCATGTGACTGTCATATGCTTGCCATGTATTGATCATGTGTAACGAGGTATCTATCATATGATTGCCATGTGATTCTCATGTGACCGCCATGCGTTTGTCAGGTGACTGCCATGTGACATACCTTGTTTTCCAAATGACATCGATCCCCTATTTCCAATGATTGTAAATGAAGGCGTAGACGGTTGGGTTTGATGTCTCTTTCCGACCAATGTTTTAATATTATAAGTTGCTGGAGTTGGCCACTGTAAGAAAGTTAAGTATTTATACAAATTGGATCGGAGAAGTTGACCAACAAAAAATTCAAATGCACACTGTGAAGAATAGTTTTGTAGTATTTGTTCTCAATCAGTAAAAACAAATTCCTGATTTCAAGCAAGATGACACGCCTCCTTGATGTCAAGAATAAAGGGCGCCCTCAAACAACATTAACTGATATATAAGTTGATTAGAATAGCTCAACATACCTTGTGATCGAATCTTAATCGATGCGTAAAATTATTACTGCTATGAAACCATTCTTTACTCCAAGCTTTATAACCACCACCACCTACGATGAATTACATAATTACGATTTTCACGAGGACGAAATTTCACAATCATTGCAACAAAATTTTGCAAATTTCCCAGAATGGCTAATTGGGTTTAAAAAGTCACATGACATTGACTTACTTCGTTCGTGTAACTTCATTCCAAACGAATACTCGGGTGAGTTTGTTTCATTCAATGGTTTAATGTTCGGTGAATATGTACATGGTCCGGGGCCTTCCATGTCAATTTGTAACGGCGGTCTACTATTCATACACTGATCCCAAGCTGAATAAAAACAAAATATATAAATCATTTTTGGGTAAAAAGTAACAATTACTGTAAATCATTTAATATTTGCATCTAGCAATTATTTGTTTATTTGTCCACAAAAACAAAATTTCACAAAAAATTATTTCAACTGCCTGTCGTAAGCGAAATCTTCACTGCAAAAAAATTCTTCTGCAAAAATAAGTGGTTTATAGTATTTCCAGAAAAATAAAATTATTAATACCGCATATACTATACAATTTTTTTCCCCTGAAAGTCTAGTAAAAATCAATATTTCCCTTTTCAAATCAGTAAGAATAAATGACACATGTCAACCTAATTTTTGATTTTCACTGAAAATAAATTCAAGCTTAAGAAATTAACATATCAGACAGGCAGTATTTTCACACACAATGAATAAATTATTAACTTTGTTAATCCACCAGGTCCTTACTCCACTTACTCATCAGTTTTCTACTGTTCCTTTCCTCGTAATAAATACTTGGTCCTTTGTTGATTGCGGCTCTTTTCCTGTAAGCAAAATAATTATCTATTTTAATTAAACATTCAATGAGGTACTTAATTGGCTAATTAATAATAAAATTCTGAAACTGCAGAGCAATGATTTAATTAAAAAGTCAAATTTCAATGGTTCAGAATTTGTTATTATAACTAGAAATTTGGTTAAAAAACCCACTGAGGCAATGATTAACATTTCAATATCAAAGGCACACAGGAAATCAACAAACTCATTAATTTTAACTAGTTTAAATAACCAATATGAATGATTTAGTGCTGTTTTGCATGGAGTCACATGACAGGAAGTGAATGCAAGTATGAAGACTAATGAATTACTGTGATATTGTTTGGTAACCACGGTGATAGATCAACGGTTATATATTTATACAATATATTTCAAGACAGAGCTGCGTCACAGAATGTTCTACGTTACTAAGACGCGCACCACTGTTCCATGTATTTCTATGTGCTCTGTGCACGCTGCTGTGGAATGTTGAAACTGCAAAATGTTTTTGAGGAATCAATGTAGCAATTTATAAATTATTACTGTGAAATACCTTTTTTTTGGTGGGATTTATGTTTGCTATTTGAACAAAAATTTATTCCAGTTCCAATAAAGTATTTTACAGTAACTACCGATAACAGCTTTTTCGTGTTTCATGAAGTGAATAATTCTGATAAAGTTCAACTCAAGCGGGCAAAAGATTTGCAACTAAGACGCAACGAAAAAAAATTGTGTTGGTCACACTTTTCCAGCCACCTCCCTTGAATTCAAATATAGTAAACCTGTTCTCAAGTTGAAAAATAATAATGAAAATAAATATTCATCAAAAATAAAGAAACAGTAGTGTGTAGTGTGTGATTCAATGAATTAATCACTGAATAAATTGTAAACCATTTTAACTTCACAAGAAACAAATTTTCATGGATTTCGAGTTAGGGTAAATCGTGAAATTTTGAAAATTGAAATGAAGTTTCTCCAATGACATAAAACGTCAGTGACTTTTGCAAAATTTTGACTTCACGAATGTCATAAATTCTGAAATTACACAATTTTTTGCATAAAAAATTACACGGTTTACAATATACATAGCAAATATGTTTGTGACTTCCAAAAATAATGTAATATTTGTAATTTGACGAGTTTCAGACTCTTTGATGACAGCGAGCTATAAATAGATTTAAATTATTACCTTGCTGAGAGAACTACAGTTGACATCTTCATTACAGCAGGTGGTAGTCGCCCTGGCAACCCTTCAGATATTCGGTCGCCTTTGTACTTAGCATTTTTATTTGCAGGTAGACGTTTTATGTGTGCCATATTTGGCGGCGCATACAGAGGGTTTGTAATTTCTCTTTTCGCACCATCGTCCATATTAATTCGGGGTAATGATTTAATTTTTATGTTCACTGTAGGAGGGAAAATATCTCATTACTATCCATGTGTTATCTACCAAGAGAACTCTTTGCTGTCACATGTATTTGTACAGAGAGTTAGGTGTGCTTTCATGTGTATTTGTACAGAGAGTTAGGTGTGCTTTCACATGTATTTGTACAGAGTTAGGTGTGCTTTCACATGTATTAGTACAGAGAGTTAGGTGTGCTTTCACATGCATTTGTAGAGATAGCTAGGTGTACTTTTACATGTATTTGTACAGAGAACTAGGTGTGCCTTCACGTGTATTTGTAGATAGCTAGGTGAACTTTCACATGTATTTGCACAGAGAACTAGGTGTGCCTTCATGTGTATTTGCACAGAGAACTAGGTGTGCTTTCATGTGTATTTGTACAGGGAACTAGGTGTGCCTTCATGTGTATTTGTAGAGATAGCTAGGTGTACTTTCACATGTATTTGCACAGAGAACTAGGTGTGCCTTCATGTGTATTTGTAGAGATAGCTAGGTGTACTTTCACATGTATTTGTACAGATAACTAGGTGTGCCTTCATGTGTATTTGTAGAGATAGCTAGGTGTACTTTCACATGTATTTGCACAGAGAACTAGGTGTGCCTTCATGTGTATTTGCACAGAGAACTAGGTGTGCTTTCATGTGTATTTGTAGAGATAGCTAGGTGTACTTTCACATGTATTTGTACAGATAACTAGGTGTGCCTTCATGTGTATTTGTAGAGATAGCTAGGTGTACTTTCACATGTATTTGCACAGAGAACTAGGTGTGCCTTCATGTGTATTTGTAGAGATAGCTAGGTGTACTTTCACATGTATTTGTACAGATAACTAGGTGTGCCTTCATGTGTATTTGTAGAGATAGCTAGGTGTACTTTCACATGTATTTGCACAGAGAACTAGGTGTGCCTTCATGTGTATTTGTAGAGATAGCTAGGTGTACTTTCACATGTATTTGTACAGAGAACTAGGTGTGCCTTCATGTGTATTTGTAGAGATAGCTAGGTGTACTTTCACATGTATTTGTACAGATAACTAGGTGTGCCTTCATGTGTATTTGTAGAGATAACTAGGTGTGCTTTCACATGTGTTTAAAGAGAAAACCAGATGTGCTATTAAAGTGTGCTTTTATTTTACATTTTTTCTTCACGAATGTCATAAATCCTGAAATTACACAAAGTTTTTGCATAACATTTTTTATTTTACATGTTATGTTTTTGATCACAGACATTATTCTTACTTTAGAAATAAATCAGTAAAAATAATGTATTTGACATAACTTGGTTACTCTTCCCTTCCAAATACTTTGTAAAAGGCGTTAAACAAACAATGTGGCCAATGATTGGTTGATTACTTTTCTGCTAGGGGAAGTAAGCCAATGAGGAATACTGTTACTCACCTGGTGTAACGTTATCATTTAGGCTATGGCTTTGTAAGTATTCTTCCAGTCTGGTCCTGTCTACGTCATCCTCGTCTTCTAATTGGCTGACGTTCTCTTCCGTTAATGGCAAACGTTTATTCTCCGTGGCGTTGATTGGCGTAGGCAACTTTTCTACTTCTCCAGTTCGCCGTCTTTTTCCGAGTAGTGGTTTCGAATCCGTTTTAGTGTCGTCTCCCGTCCCTTCGTCTTCGTTAACTGGTGTGCTGTTCTCTTTTTCTTGAATGTCCTTCGAATTGTCATTGATATTTTCATTTCCCGCTACCTCTGTTTCATTGTTGTGTTCAGCGGGCACGTTTTCAGTCTGTAATTCTGCCTGCTTGTCTGTAATTTCTATGGCTTCTTTGTCGTCGCCGTGTTCGTCGTTTTCATCCCCGTTGCCTTCATTGTCGACATTCTGACTCTCCGTTTGGTTCTTTTCTTCACTCGCGGCATGATTGTCTTGAATTGTCTCGTCATTTTTTTCGTCGTCCGCCATTTTGCTAGGTCGTTTTTTATCGAGATTCAGCTCATATTACCTCCACCCCGGACTCTATGTGGAAGCATTAAATATGAAGTGTCAGTACTCCCAATCTTTATTATTGTTTTGAGAAGTAACGAGAAACCCAATGATTACGCGAGCAATCGTGAAATTCAGCGCTTATCCACCAGCGAACAATAGCAACAGAATTTATTCAATTTGTATCCAGTTCTAACAATTGTAACCATATATTAACGGGTCATTGTAAAGTTCAATTTGTTGAAATCGTCCACCGTGAATGCGGACATCTGTTGATCGAGCAGGCCCGAGACTTCCCTCCAACAACTGCTCGTGTTGAAAACAAAATATACGAAATACATGCCAACTTTTTATTCGCGAATTAATCACTAAGTCGTACGCGCTTTGTCCACGGCCGGTAGGTTTTGGTAACTGATATATTCGTTTCTGAGTGTTTCTAAACATGAACAATGAAATGTACTTCGCTGTGTACGGCGGCTGTCAAGCGTGAGGGTGCTGACAACCAAATTAAACAAAATTACAAACAAACTGCGTGGTCATTTTTTTTAATCAACTTACCAATGAAATGACGATCACGTTCGCTGATATGTTGCTGTTTTAAACCAACGGTAAGCTGGAAAATGGCGCTAATACACTGGTCATTTAGTGCTCACAGCGTTACGCATTCACCCATTGCATTTGCGAAGCGGTGGCCATTACTCAGCTGGTTACTATGAAGCCGCAGGTCTCTAGGGGGCGTGGTGATGATGACGGATTACTAAATACGTGCGCATAACACCCGCAGGGTTGCTTAACAGGTGGTAACAATCAGTTCAAGTTGTTTATCACGGCTTATGTTTATAAACGGCTTATGTTTATAAACGGCTAATGTTTATAAACAACACGTTTAGACATATAGTCTATGGTTTAGATAACACGTACCGTTTCTATGAATCAACGAGTTTAAAAAACTAGATATAACAGATATTGGCAGACGTCTACGAGATTAAACAGTTATATCATAAACATATAACGGGATGTTTGATGACGTCGTACGATCTATACAAAATGATGACAATTTATTTTCCCGAAAGGAATGAAAATGTAGTAAGACTCCTGGCAGTACTCTGTCATATGCAAGTAATTTATCAATCGTTATAAATTTATGATATTAATAATAAGTTAATAATGTTAATTAACTTAATTGGTAACAATTTTAAGCTGTGATCAACTTCAGAAACAACGTAGAATGTAGAATATAGTAATTATGGACAACGTGAAGCGGAAAAACATACCCGGGGGTCGTCATTTTGATTTAATTATTACGTATGGTTAATCACTGTAGCTACGAGTTTACATTTAAAGCGAAGAGGTCGTCACCTGCGCACGCGCGAGTCTCAAGGGCGATAACAACGCACGCTGAAAACGCAAAGGCTCATGGGTAGACGCTTGTTTGTAAACAACGACACGTATTATTTTTTCCTGCCAAAATCTTGGTGGAACATTTTTCACATTTGCGGTTATTTTTCTGAATTATGTTTGTTAATTTTGGACAAAATAGTAGACATACTTTCCCATTGCCTTACAGGTCTTGATCGCAATTTTTGAAAGAATTGGAAAATATTAGTATTGTGCGTGTTTGTTCATCTTGTGAAAAGTAAAATATCTTTGTATTTGTTAACCTTTGAAAGGTCACGGGGTCAAGCAATCTGATTAAAACAAGACCCCACTTTGTGTTTGTTGTTGTTATTGTTTACATTTATATTTTTTTATTATTATTTTTGTGTTCATATATTTTAATCAATTAATTTGGTTCAGGGTTTGGTAATAGAGATAGGTAAAACAAATAAATTGCATGGAATATAAACAAATTAAAATAAATATAGCGAAAATAAAATATTCAAAATAAAACAAATACTAGCCAGTATGCAACTTTTCCGGGATATAAATAGTACTGGCTGGCGGTTCCCGTTCACGTGATGGTCTTGACGGATTCCGGCTCAATAATAAAAGATCGATTATTTCTGTAAGAGAGCACGTATTAACCTACAACTTTCATTTGACATCACTTTGAACACATTTAGATGTCATATTAACCATCATGTAGCATCGCATGAATATGATTTTTAATTTTGACCAACAAATAGTTTATATCAATGAATATTAAACCACAGTCGCTGCTTAGCTCGTCGCTAATAAATTTTTGTATGTGATAAAACTCACGTGTTACACGACATTTGTAACAAGATACGCCCTCTAGCGACGAGGAACACATTTGACGCAATTAGGAGTCGTCCATCAATCAAACGCACTATAAAACATAGCTGTGGGTCGATAACTTTTGTCGTGTCGATATTTATTTATTTATTTATTTATTCAAGAGACATATACATTTTTCAATAATTACATCACGCACAAAATACAATATGTACAAAACAAAAAGAAAAGATAAAATAAATACAATACAATGATCTTTAAAAACGTCGCAGCGATTTAAAACACACCTGTTATGAAATAGTAAATACTAAAAAAAATCTACTTTATCGGATTTGTAAATGTTTGAAAAATCAAGGCATATTTCCGCAAGTTTGCACGGAAGCGAGGTAGTTTAAAAGGGTAAAAAAGATAAAATATACGTGATGGTGCATTATAGCGCCATTATGACGTCAGAAAAGCTCGTTGTCAATAGAGGGCTTGACTTACTGGATTGGTATTATGCTCCGTTCTACAGTTCGTATTCTTAGTATACCAATATCTAAAAACTACACCTTTAAGGAACTCAGTACAAACTTTTGAATCTGTGCTGATAAGAATTTAGTTCTTAAATTCTTGTAAATGAAAATAATGTTCGTACTATCAATCTTACATTTAGTAATGTGTGCCAACCCGCTCATGGATGAAACATTGAGAACTATTCTATGTTGTAAAATATACCAACATTACAATAGACATCGCTATGGTTACAGTGGGCACTGAATGAATAACGGCTACGTCATAAGCTGGTGTATCCATATTGCACAAGTCGTATTCGCAGCACTCCATACAGTAGGTATTGATGGGATTTTCTTCTTCACAGGGAGGGTATCCAGTACATGTATCGGCATTAGCACATCCACGACGTATACCCTCCAGACGTCCTAAATAATCATAACGCACAGACACCTGCGAACAAAAAAAATGTCACAAAATTTCGATTTAATGCGAGTATACAACGCGCGCAAATATACATTGTTAGTTTACACGAAATAGACCATTTTCCGTTCACTGCGAGATCACGCGTTATGCGTGAAATCGAACGTAAAACGAAACAAACAAAGGTCATAGCGTCGCACAATCTCCCAGGCAGAGTTCTATTCCACGAATATTTCGGTGATCTAACCGTAAGGAGCTCTGGGAAGGAGAATGAGCGCGCAGTGGAGTCAAACTTCGCATGGGATTCGACAAACGCGAAAATATTTTGGGGGATATTTCCAAGCTTAATAAATGTGCTGTACATATTTGATGCACAGTCACTTGGGGGCTGAAAATCAATAAATACTAATTTTCAAAAAAAATCATCCGCTATACACGGCACCTAGTAAATCGACACCCTGTCGGTTTCAAATGTCGATTTCTTACCTTAAAATGCGAAACAAAAATTTTAGAGGGGATCAGGTGTTACGTTAATAACTATTGTTCATAATCGCTAACTTGGTTTTATTCAAAACTGCACAAATCCCGCGTTTTCTGATGATATCCGACGATTTCATGAACGAAAATGGCCAGCAGCCAGAATCAAGGGGGATTCGCCAGAGTTCTGGGTAAATCAAGTGCGCATACTCATTTTCAGCCAATCAGGCGTGCCGTAACAGCGAGTATTTACTAGGTGCCGTGTTTCACAACTTGTTTATTTATATACGTATAGCGGATGATTTTTTTTGAAAATTAGTATTTATTGATTTTCAGCCCCCAAGTGACTGTGATTTGATGATAGTCAATTTCGATCAAGTAAGGATATTTAAACGCAATATATCAAATATATATATATAATATATATATTTCAAATATCGGTCTATCGATGTGAGCTACGAAACAAAGAATTCGCGGCAGACGTTCGGCGTGCGTCTTTCAGGCAACTCGCGAGATCTCGCAGTTGAACGGAAAATCACCTTTACGAAAGGTCTAGTTGAGTGGAAGCATATATACAAGGCATAATCTGATAGTCAAAAAAACATCAACAAACAAGCTGCTCTCTGATTGGTTTAATTGTCAGGCATTAGAGTTGGGTAGCCAATCAGGTACAGTCTTGCAAGTAGCTTTGCTTTGACTCAAAAGGTGCAGTATGGCCGAGAACATGCTGAAATATCTTCATTATTACTGTGTGTTGATGAATACATTGTACTATGATTTATCGTCAGATGAAAACATCACCATTCAAGTTCTTGCCGCACGCAGTTTGTTCGACAATACACTGAAATTGTCTAATGCGCATGTGCACTGATAGTTGTGGTACGTACAAAACAGTTACGGCATGTATTATTAGTGTTTTGAATTTTTCATTAAAGTGGAGAGATCGTCAGCTGCGCACGCGCGCCCAAAACGACATTAACAACGCATGTTAAAAACGAAAAGGCTTATGGGAAGACGCTTGTTTTTAAACAACGACAAGCTATGGCCGTCCTCCGCATGCACAAGTGATGACTCCCCCGCTTTAAGCAAATATTTTGTGCAAGATTTTTTGCTCACAATAAATCCTACTCCAACCAAATAGTAAGTTTTTGTCTATATTGCATCTTCAAACAGGCTTGGCTTAGTTCAATTGACAATGTGTGTTCCAATGTGTGACATGGTCAAGCCTTACATATTCTGGACACATCCCCTATATTATAGATTGTCGATAGAATAAAATGTGAAGCCCGCGGCCAATCAGGTGTGAAGACACAATAATCTGCGCAAAGTCATGGAAACTGCACGCTCAGCAAAAAAATACTAATTCCAAATAACAGGCAAAATACTTTCTCCGTTATTACACCCAAGAAGCAGATTTAGGAGAGCCTTCGTTAGTCATGTAAGTAAAGCTCACAATGCAATGTGGTAAAAATGAGATCAATGATCGCCTGCCTCATCCCTGGCCACACCGCTCCCATTGTATATATGGCAGACCAACCCTAACCAGTCAGGAATACCTATCGAACGAAATATATATTCCAATCGGGATGTTTGGTCTTATATTGCGTTGGAACGATTGATTATAGTATGTGGCGCATATCGAAATCGGTACGTATACATTCATCTCCTAAAGCCCTACAAAAAAGCCAGGGATTGAACATAAGGTTGTCCAGGGGATGTTTTTCTACCTCTTGTTAAATAATATTTTCCCGATCAAGTTTTTTTTTCTACCCCGGTTGTAATATTTATCCCGATCGGGGCCAGTACTCGCTGATCATTCATTTAGTAGGCCGAGACATTCAAAGATGTGTTCGAGATGCACTTCTCTAGCGTGATATTTTCTGTTTGACGGATATTTTTAACTGCTAACTGTATTGAGAGTTTAAATCATTCATGGTCGTACTAATAGGCGCTAGAGTCGACCACCTGCTACTGGTCACGTAGCCTGGCGTTCGATTAACGTGTACATCGCATCTTTCAAGCGCATCGTCCTCTAAGGATGGCATACAGGGTTTATTCACAAATAGCTGTCAATTTAATCAGGAATAGAAAAAAATAGATTCACAAATTTGAGCTTGGAAAAACATCGGGAGCAGACACTAGTGAATACGATAAACCGGGTGTCACTGACCTAGTCGAGGCCACATGGCGAGTCCACAGGGCAGAAATTTGTTTCCATTTTGTTTTTTTGCAAAGAATTATGGGTTGATAATTGAACCACTGAGGGCGCTTTGGGGAATCATATCTTTCCCGTTTTCAAGCAACGTTGTTAGTTTGTTACGTGTGGTTATATTGTCGGACTGTAACGTAATTTCATTGGGAAGAATGTGTATCACTGATTCAGCCGAGGCATAACGAGCCTACAAGGCACAAGTGAATACAAAACACGTGTATACATGTATAAGGGCATCATTGACGTAGCCGAGACTGTATGGCGAGCCTACAATACTACTCATTTATAAATATTTCACTGACGTACCGAACAGCTGTCAAATCCGTAAAGACACGTCAGACTCTCGATATCTTCAGGGCTGTTGAAACATCTGTCATCGTTTAAATTATAGTCGACGCCGCCGCCCATGTCTCCGGAACCACAGTACCAGCAATCAATCGCACACACAGCAACTAACACTACAAGATAAATTAATAAATGTGTTATGTAATAAGGAGTAGAGCATTGGAAAATCTGAATGAAGGGGTGGTAGAAATACGACACTGTGTAATAGTTTTCTTCGCTTAATTTTGACCAAGATTTCATGAGATGTTGCTATAAAGATGGTTTATATATATATATATATGTTTTGTTTCTTCTGGAATTTCCTCTTTAGTATTTTTTTCTACTTAAAATTCTCAATTCCAAGATTATCTAAGGGCCATCCCTAATTATCAGAGTTTATAGTGCGTTGTTGTTTGATTTATAAATATTTATTATCCCTGTATTCTGCTATTACCGGTAACTCACTGTTTTGATATTTGCGGTGCGAGATCGTGTCATTCCCACCTCGACTTTCGTTATTATTACTAGTATACATTGTGAATGAGATTTTAAATATTTATTATACTATAAGAGTATTTGTGGCGTACGTTTGCATTGAGAACTTTGTTTTACCTGTTGACAGCAGCAACCATCCAATCACACATTGCTTGGGTAATGACGTCATTGCAACAGTCTGTTACAGGTGCTTGTCATCACTTCGACCACTTTTTGTCGTATTTTCTGATCTGCAGAGAAGTGAAGGTATTTGTATATTCACCATAGACCTAATAATATACACAAGCAAGCATTATGATGGATATTGTAAGTTTAAATCCCAACCGGCCCGACGCGATTATGATGGTTTGTAACAGTATTCAGAATCTTAGAAAAATCCGTGCAAAAGGAAACTGTTGCCATTTTACTTGACATTACAAGGTTGCATTTTTCGGAAAAAAAGTTGAACACAAACTGTGTAAAAATTATGTTGTTTTTGCTAAAAAAAAAACATGAAACATTGAAAGTATATATCGTTCCCCGACATTTCCATGCATTTCATTATGAAACATACCTGCAATCATGATATAAAAGCCCCCTAACTCAATGTTTATTGTTTACAAACCTAGCTCAATTATTACCAAATAAAAGTTGATTTTTCATTACCAATCCACAATCTCAACATTTTATGGAGTATTCATTGATTAGATGATAGTATCTCACATATTTGCATGGCGTCAATGTAATTTTAATTCCTATGCTCCGCGGAAGTCTGTCAGTACGAAGCCTTTCGAATATGAGCAATAAACAAAAACCATTTTTCAGTTGCAACACATTTCGTGTTCAAAATAATCAAAATCAGTTCGTTTGCCATGATGTACAATGTTTTGGCTTCGTATTGTATTTGACTAAAATCTGATTAAAATAAGATCCTAGTTTTGGCTTTATTTATTTTCATTGTGCTTGTTTATTTGTTGTCAGTTTTTCAAAAGTTTTAGTAATCGCAAAAGCCGCCAACAAGTCGATAGTCAAAATAACACAGAATAAAATCACGCAACGTAATAATAAAATACTAAATATTAAAAAATAAAGTACTAATGAAATAAAATTGAACACATACCATACAATAATTACATAAGATTCTAACCAGTTTATATAAAATTGAACACATACCATACAATAATTACATAAGATTCTAACCAGTTTATATAAAATTGAACACATACCATACAATAATTACATAAGATTCTAACCAGTTTAGTTGGAACACGATCACTAGAAGAACAGTATGCCACAATATGTACTCAGGTTTCCATTCTCTGATCGTTAATCTTTTATGAATACGAATCATGGCGTTAATATAAGTGCGTCTGAAAGACGACGCATTGTTACAATTTACTTGAGTACTCAATTTAAAAAAAAAAAAAACGACTGCAGCTACGTTTTCACACGTCTAAAAAACGCCAGTGTTAACACTGTTTTTTTGTTGTGAAAATATTAGATAATCTGCTGAATTGTTAGCACGCGTTCTCACTTAGTAAAAACACAGGGGTTTGAGGATTGAATGCTGGCCTTTCACCTAATATGTTGTGTAGTTCATCCAAAAATGGCATAGTTTTCGAATCTCTACCGCTTCTGTTGTTGAGTCACGACAATTGTGTCTGTTTTCGAATTGATAAAAATAACATATTGTTGTCACGTGATTAAAAAGCAGTGAAAAAATGGGTGTCCTTGTAGTAAGTGGTGATTGCGCGAGAAGATATATTGACTATAGTTATTTAATTGCGCTGGAACTGTGTACAAAATATAACACGACTCAATCAATCTGGTCTGTCGTGTTTACTGTGAGCGAAAAACCCCAACCAGCAGTATTGTGATAAAACTTACTGTTCTACAAACAAAATAGCAATGATAGTTCAGAGGTAACAGTTTGTTATGATAAGTTGATAGCAATAGGAATGCAGTGAGCTATATTTCAATACTGCTGGTCGGGTTGCGTTTTCGTTCACATGATTATAATTGTGTTGACAAATGTACGTGTTGGGTTTTCCACACTAGATAACGTCAACACTCAGAATACGAACGTAGCGGCTAAGAAAACACTAAACACCGTAACAGTTTAATCTCAGACAGCTGAAAAGGGTTTGCTTTATATTATAGGCATAATTTCCAAATAAATACTAATGAGGCCGTGTGAATTTACGATTGAGATACAGTACATACCTTGGGCGTGTGTGTTTGGCAAGCGTTCTTACGCGATCGTGAACTGTTCTACGGCGCTGCATAAACTAAATTATCAATCTGGCGTGTTTTAATTATATTGACAGAGTACTGTAAAGGTGTGTCACATGTCCTACCAAAGTGTACATATAGTACAAACGTAGCCAACAAAACAAATACGTCGAGTACCATATACGATTTGGTGAAGTACCTTTGTAATCAAGTCGAAATCTCAAAAAACGTGACCGGCGGGCGTGACAAGTGTGATAATTAATACTGTTATATAATAAACGGTACATACCTTTCAAATATGTACTTTATAAACGACGCGATATTTAACGCTCATCGACTGCTCTGGTATGCCGATATTGTGTGTTGGCCTCTACGACCCGTGGGCTTTTGAGTAGTTGTGTTATTTTTATAAGTTCACTTATTTGAATGGCAGAACCTATTGGGTGTGTCTATTGTGTTGGACATCGTGTATAGCGCACCGTCTCCGAGGTTATACTATTCACTGGTGTCAAGGTGAATTGCCAGGTTTGTTCTACCATGGAGATCATAGCTGGTTTCATTGCGATTTTTATACAACGAAGACGAAGTAAAAAACTTCGTACTTTTTTATACACGGTAAAAGCACAGGGAACCCAGGAACTTTGATCAACTGTCATCTAGTGTAAGAAATAGACAAGGGATGAAGGCTTCAGCAAGCTCATATTTTTTTAAACTGGAAAAAACAGACGAACAGAATGAGAAATAACAAAATTCCAGGTTGAAGAATATTAGTTGCTCTTTCAAATTTCGCCAAAGCCTTACTTATATTTTACCTATATCTGCAGAATAAATAAAGAAAACTACGCAAATTGACTCCATTTATGAATAATTAACGGTTGGCCCGGCACAGTTGGAGGCGTGGCCTGTTCTGAATTTGTCAACAACCAATCATAAGACTGGTTACGAACCACATCGAGGTTACCACTCGGTCAGCCTTGCTCAACTGGTTCGTAACCAGTCTTGTGATTGGTTCTTCGCCTCCAACTGTGCCGTGCGTTCGGGCAGACCACACATTCAATAGAGTGATTACTGTAAACACCACACATTCAGTACAATGGTCGCTGTAAACACCACACATTCACTGCAGTGGTCGATGTAAACACCACACATTCAGTAAAGTGGCCAATGTAAACACCACACATCCAATAGTGGTCGCTGTAAACACCACACATTCAGTACAGTGGTCGCTGTTAACACCACACATTCAGTACAGTGGTCAATGTAAACACCACACATCCAGTACAGTGGTCAATGTAAACACCACACATTCAGTACAATGGTAACTGTAAACACCACACATTCAGTACAGTGGTCACTGTAAACACCACACATTCAGTACAGTGGTCACTGTAAACAGCACACATTCAGTACAGTGGAGAGTTGGGTCGGCATTATCTTAGAGGAGAGTTGGGTCGGCATTATCTTAGAGTGTATGTAAATGTTGAAATTATTCGTTTTTGGTTAAAACTAATACGTGATGTTTCTCCACATATTTTAAAAGAATCGTATAAATTTCAACTTAATATGGCA